CTATGCAGATGAGGCCGGCCTCAATCTCATGGAGATCTACCTCTCACGTGCTGGTATGAAAGGCATATGCCACCATGCCCAGCTACCTTTTAAAAAATTTTAAATGTATTTTTATTTTGTGAGTGTTTTGCCTGCATGCATGTAAGTGCACCACATGTGTACAATGCCCAAAGAGGCAAGAAGATGGCAATTGGATCCCCTGCAACTGTAGTTACAGATGGTTGTGAGTTACCATGTGGATGCTGGGAACTGAACCTGTATCCTCTGTAAAAGCACTCAGTGCTCCTAACTGCTGTGCTGTCTTTCTAATCCCAGCTTACTATTTCTTTAAGACAGATGTAAGGTTAATTCAGAGGACAAGGTCATCAGGGGAGAAAATTTCCAAGCTGGAACTTTCTGTCCCAGCTTACTTTGAGACTCCTCTGTGTTGGGGCCTGTGAAGTACTTTACTTAAACCTTTAGAAGCCTTAGAAATTCCCCCAAAGAGCCTTCCAGCTAGTCTGAGAGCAGCTGTGGGCGTCTGCAAGAAGCCGGGATTCTGGAAAAACCAGGGGTCACAACCAAAGGCTGCTACTTAACCAGGTCTGTCATTTTGGGAGGGCAATGTGCTCAGCTCTACTGAGTCTCTGCAAATGCTACAAATAACGGTGTTTTGAAAGAACTGCCCCCAACCCTCCTGTCTGTGCATTACTCCCAAGTCCTCTAGTGTCCCCAGGACCTGCCCATCGATTTGTTAAGGGTTAAAGAGAACAATTGGAGGAGAAAGGGGGTGGAGAGTCTCTGCATGCCTTTCCCTCTCTCTGTGGGTGTCAACATTGCTGACAGAGCACTACACCCTGCGGCCCCCAGTGATGGGCTTGTTTTGAAACTGGGAAGGGGTCAATGGGTCACTTAGGAAATTTCTCACTAAAGGACTTAAGAAATCAGACTTTAGTTTGCAGCCATTCAGGCAGCTTATAAACAATGTCTAGGCTTACAAAGTCACCTAGGTTCTGTCCCTGACTCCTTGGGTGACCTTGAACTGATATCACAGAGGTTCACAGCAACTAGATGCACACAGGTACTGGGCTTGGGAGTACTTAGCACATAGCTGGTACAGATACCCCAGGAGGAGCGAATCATCTTTTCACAGAAACTGGACACAGAGAATAGAGAGGTGTGTCACTTTCTCCAAGCTGGTAAGCAGCAAAGTGAGAACTGGAGCCCAGGGGGCCGGACCCTTAAGCATCACGCTCACCCATCCTGTTACATAATTTATCTCTAAGTCATCCAAGGTTCTCTCTGGCTCTCACTTGCTTTTACTCCTTTGACTTGCAAGTAACTGAAATTGCCACCCAACCCCGTGTCTGTTCAGGACACAAGAGTGACCAAGCTTGAAAGAGAACCCCTGCTCTACTGCGAATGGCCTTGGGGCCTGGACAGTTCACTCTCATGGTCTCCAACACTTGGCAAGCCCAGGACCAGTTCCAGAGATGGCATAACCACGCCACACTCCAGGGCATTGCACTCGTCCCTGGAGTGGCCCGGGGACAGCTGTGGAGAGGGGCTGTGCCCGGCCCTCAGCAGTG